CCCCCCCCCCCCCCGAACCCCAGCCCACCCTCATCTGTCGTGCTGGAGAATGCAGTATACTGACAAATCCAATCGAGCTAACGCACGCGGATGTGGTGTGTTGGCCTGATATCCAATTTGGCAGAATGAGAAGAGGGAAAGATTGGTGAAGGCAAGCAGAGATGTTACAATACACAGCAAGAAAGTGATCTTTCAGTTGCACAGGTTAGAAGTGCTTTTAATATCTCCTCCAGCTTCCACCCACTCTGCGGCTTCTTCTTTCCCGCCTCCCCTCACCCGCTGTACCCTCCCTCCTTCCTTCAACTTTCGAACAATGAGATGATTATTGCCTTCCAAGTTCTAATCTCCCCTCTGGCACAGATTATCAGCACTTTATGTGGCCGCAGAGGTTATTATTACCACTGCTGTCTTGCCTGTTGATAGCAATTTGCCCGATACCATTTCCTCTGCTGTGCTGCTGGGGGCATGCCAGCAGGTTCTTCCTTTTGCACCTTTCCCACCTCCCGCGAACCCTGTACCTTCAGCTTTCGAACAATGAGATGATTATTGCTCCCCAAGTTTTAATCTCCGCTCTGGCACAGATTATCAGCTCTTCATGTTGCCGTAGAAGTTATTATTACCACCACTGTCTTGCCTGTTGATAGCAATTTGGCCGATACTATTTCCTCTGCTGTGCTGCTGGGGGCATGCTAGCAGGTGCAGTCAGGTACTTCACAGCTTCTTCCTCTTGTACCTTTCCCCCCCCCCCCCCCCGTGAACCTCCCTCCCTTCAACTTTCGAACAATGAGATGATTATTGCCCCCCAAGTTTTAATCTCCCCTCTGGCACAGATTATCACCACTTTATGTGGCCGTAGTGCGAGGCTCAAGGCCTCAATCTGCCCTACTGGGCCCTATTTTCTGTACAGTCGGCCGCCCTAAGTGAAGGCAGGCTCGACCCAGGGCCTACAGGTCTATTTTTGGGGTCACCACGCAACTGGGTAATTTCAGGCAGTTACGCAGCGCCAGTTGGTTGAGAGCGCCTAGGCCCAGGCTGCCTCTTTCGAATGTAACCAAGGCAGGCCCTGGGCCAGATTCGCAACATGGACCGAACACAGGCCGTGGGCAGTTGAACAAGGGCAACCACCACAGGCCCAGGGCCTGATTCGTTTGGACTGGGGCTCAGCCTCTCTGGGCCTACCGGAAGCTTCTGGGCAGGGGCCCACCGCAGCCAGGCTGCATGCAAGCAAGCAGGCCACTTCCATTGAGGAAAGGGCATGCCCACGCATTCGGCATTCCGGCACTGGTTGCATGCTGTGCAAGCGCTGCTGCGCTAACGCTGGCCACCACTCACGCGCTCACGGGCGAGCTGGAAGGAGCAGACAGCCATAGCCGAGCTGCGCTGCTGTATGCTGGATGGGGCGCATGGTGGTCTTTGGGTGCATGTGGCATCTGTGAGTTGGGGATCGAGGTTATGAGTGAGGCGAGAGACATACCTGGTGCTTGAGGTGAACGGCATTGGCCGAGATCTGCTCGTACTTCGGGGAGCTGTTGACGTCATAAGCGGTATTGTAGATAGGCTAGATAGGATCTGTCATTTGTAGTCTGGGTGCCGAGCGCCAGATAGGATGTCGACATTGGTTCTTTGTTGATGATGATGAGACTATTCCAACATTGTCACTTATGAGCTTTTGCTGTGCTCTTATTTGGTGGAACTCGTGATGCAATTCTGCTCTTTGGTTCGAGGTCACGACTATCTGGTCTTATGTGTATGACGCTGCTTGGTTTCTGAAGTTCGCTATCGCTCATTTTCCTTGCAATTTGGTATCGGAGCTGTGGTACGTTGCACTCATCTGGCGCTTGTCTTCTGCCTATGCCGTACATGCATGCGGTATGCTGGGTGAGCTGCCGTAGGGAGTGTGTAGTGAGGAGGGCAAAGTGAAGCAGGCGACCCAGGTGGAGAGGGGATCGCCGGGAAGGCTACATGGTGTACAGTGGGTGTTCGTAGTGTGATGAGAACTATCTGATGTGAGATTGATGCTGAGGTGGAACGGCGGAGTAATGCTGGTTGTGCCGAAGCAGCGATTGGTCATCACAATCGGCATCAGGTCATCTGGTGAGAATATCTGTGGTTGGGGACAGCTATTTTGAGGTACGTTGCCTCTAACCTTATCTACCCTCGTCGACACTTCTTACCGTGAGGATGTGTTCTGTCTTGAGAGTCCTCTCATGTGAGGAGTCGAGTGCGCTCAACCTTGAGAGTCGGCATTGTTCACGTGGAGCATCTGGAAGGAGAGGGCGGAGCTATCTGAAGGGCCCTGGGCAAAACACTGGGTCACGGTCACCATGCCAACCCACCGGGAGTAGAGCACGCATGCTTTGCTGCTTTGTCCTTTGTCTGCTCGTTGTGCTAACGATGGGTTCTGAGGGGCAGGCCAGCCCTACAGGAAAGACGAGTACCGGACGTCTATAAATAAGTACCGGCGGGGGCCTTCCATTGGCTGTGATCGTCGTCCTGTCTGCGATGTTAAATAATTCCTGAGGACTTCGGGGGCCGTCCATAAAAACGCCTCCTGATCAGCCAATCGGTCGGTGTAAGGCTCGCTGCACGCAACGATAAATATTGTGCAGGGCTGACCAGCTCAGCAGGACTCGGGCACAGGGATGGGTTGTGTGCACACCTTTAGACACGCACGCTATTCTAGATCGCTTAGGGACGTTGACGTCAAGTGACCATCAAGAGGAACTGAGGGATGGGTAGATTTCAGGTGATAAGTTCGTGCTCAATTCCACTCTGCAAATATCCACACAGGCGATTCTATTTTTGTTTTGATTAGTTAGATGGACTGTCATTGACATCTAACAGACAACAATAGTTAGAAATATGCTTTCTGTTTGTGGACTAATTAATTAAAAATAGTTTCGTTTGTAGGAATCTGAACTTACCTGTTGAACCCGAATGTATGGTCTCTGATATAGCCACCGATTATCTACATCGTCATCTACAATACTAAAAGAATCGCTAACGTCATATCTACCGGCCCAGGTTTCGGCCCGGTCACCACCCGCGGACGGCCCAGATCGCAGGCCGATGAGAAATTTTTCTCGTCGGCCTGCGATTTGGGTTGTCCGCAGGTGGTGACCGGCCCGCAATCTGGGCCGTGCGATACCGGTTCGGCCCTTCTGAACGCGCGCCCGCGCCAAGCCCTGAAATCGCCCTCGAAGGGGTGGGCTTCTCAATTGTCTCGGCCGCCCCTTCGAAGGGGCGGGCTTCTCAATTGTCTCGGCCGCTACGGCACGCGACGACACGCTACGACACGTGACAGCACGCGACGGCACACGACGTGCTCATCTTGCTCTCTCTCTCTCTCTCTCTCTCTCTCTCTCTCTCTCTCTCTCTCTCTCTCTCTCTCTCTCTCTCTCT